GACCATAATTGGCACGGTTGTTGTGCAAGTTTCTATTAATTCTGATGCATTGTTTTGGGTGAATTTACTGTTTGGTACTTTATTATGTTGTATTGGAATTGTTCTTTGTAGATAATTCAGTGTTGCCTCCTAAGTACTGTCCAGCATTGGAGATAAATTCTCGTAAGTGATGTTTTCAGGATGCGTACCTTTCCAGCNCTCTCCATTTCTGTTGTATTCAACCGAGTCATATCTAGCAATTTTGTGCAAATTTCTGATCACAGTTACTGTACTTCGAATGCAAACACGCTCAAGATGTGCCATTTTGTTCATTTTTCACATCGAACCGTCATCATTGTTTGAGTTTTTCAGTATGTTTAAACTGAACTATTAAATAATTCTTGTCTCACGTATATTCCAGACAGTATCAACACCGTTTGTTGAGTCGCTGTCTGCGGAAAAGCGTGCAGAATTCCGAGACATCTTCACCAAAAAAAACTTGAACGCAACGGAACGTGCGACCAAACTGAAAGCATTCCTCGAGACTCTCGATGATAAGCAATTGGTGGCTTATGAACATTTCAGAGATGCTCTCCGAAATGTTCAAAGCAACGCAACAAAGGTCGCATTCCGCACATTATCATCACTCGATGGTTGATCCGAACAACAAATCCCCAATTGGCCTATTGATTTAGACGATTCAGAGAGACATAATATAATAGATTATCCAGGAAAATACCCAAAAAACTCCACAAGAGAGAAACAATTTGACTCAACAAATCGCTCAATTGTGTTGAAATCGAAATGCGATTTCTTCATAATCACTTCTCTATTAGAGGAATTTCTCAAAATTTGCTATCTGTTTTTGCATGCGCGGTTTTGCCACCATGTTTGCACGCAATGATTGCATTCATTGTTTCAGTTGCCACATCTTTCGGCTGAAAATCAACTCCTTCTGAAGAAGTACGATGCGCTCGAAGAAGAAAAGAAACGTTTATCGGTCGATGCTAAACAAGCACATTTGGTGATTCTCATTCGTTGCGAAAGTTTTCTGTAAAACGCTGCTCCCGTTTTATCTATTCTATTCGTCTAAAGGACTTAAAATACTACGAATTAATCTCATGAATTCCAGTTGTATTTGTGAATTGCGTGTTCTGCTGTTGGATCATTATTCAGTTGTGCATTTTGCACGCAAATTTTTTCATATATATTTTTCTTGAACTTTTCAATATACTTATTTTTCAAATAATGAGGAAACATTATTGGAAAGTTCTGTAAACTTTAC